AGAATGCGAGGCCTTTAAATACCTTCAAAAATAATTAATTTGTCTAAGTATAGTAGAGAGACATGCATTATACGCATCTAGATCCATTTAAATTAAATTTAAGGGCAATTGCATGAATTAGAAGGATCTATCCCAAGAATAGACTAAATATACAACAATATATCGGTGTATAGGCATATTAAAAAGAGTGTTTACAGAGAGTGGGCAGTAAGACTGGTTACACTTAGACGTATTCCTGGTATATCAAGTGTTATAGTGGCAAATAAGTAATAGATATACTCTGTTCTGTGATATATTTATATAAACAATAAGACTAATATAATTAGAATTGGATTGGCATGTAAACATTCATTTATTCTATTGTATATTATCCTGTTCTGCTGTAATTAGTCTAAGAGAATAAAAGTGATAATAAGTTCTAGTAATATCATTTTGTTGCTATTAATTATATGTATATTTATTAGTATAATTTTACTTTACTTTAATATTTTTATAAGAAAGAAATGTTTTCACATGATTTTAATTATAATAATATTCTGGGTATAGATTTAAAATATTTAAAATATGAAATTATATAGTAACGCAATATAAATAGAAGTGTTAAGAAAGAAAGCATTCTATTAAGATATAAATATAAAAGATTTTTTATTATCGCCAGAAACCAATACTACTTTAATATATATTTAAACTATTTGATAACCCCATAAACTATATGATTTAAACCATTGGTATATGTTAAATATTACTTAAACAGAACTATTTTATGTCTATTTAAGATTTTTAGCTTCTAAAATATCTGCTAGATTTAGTATAAGGCCATTCTAATTCATTAAGGAGTATTTAATAATATGAATATTATAGGTATTATGCTAGTAGAGTGGCAGAATATGCAATTGTTGTATAATAAACCAAACTATACAATAATTGTGGAAACAGCACAGATTAAAAGCTAATTAGAAATAGACAAAACTGGTGCATTAAATAGAAATTTATGCAGGAATACACTCAAATAACCAAAAATGCATAGGGAATGCTAATAATAAGAGCAAAAAAGTGAATAATTATTTTAGTAGGTTTTATTTCTTACTGTATTAATGCATGCTGGGCGTATAAATAGCTCTAAATATACTAGAGGTTTGTGCAACATACTATAATAACGCAGAGAGCATTCAAGAAAATATGACAGTAGATAGATTTATTAGATTTTAAATTACGGCATATCTTATGCATGAACGCCATAATCCTCTTCATCCACAGTTGCATCCTGGTACTGCTGGTACTCACTGTATAAATCGTTCATGTTGGATTCTGCTTCAGTAAACTCCATTTCATCCATACCCTCACCGGTATACCAGTGCAAGAAAGCCTTCTTTCTGAACATAAGACTGAACTGATCGCTGATTCTCTTGAACAGCTCCTGGATTGCAGTGCTGTTTCCAATGAATGTTGAAGACATTTCAAGGCCTGTTGGGGAGATGTCACACACAGAGGTCTTCACATTATGGGGAATCCACTCCACAAAGTTTGCAAAATTCTTTCTCTGTATGCCAAGCATCTGCTCGTCCACATCCTTCATTGACATCTTACCTCTGAACATTGCTGCTACTGTCAGGTATCTTCCCTTTGTTGGGTCGCATGCTGCCATCATGTTCTTTGGACTGAACATCTGCTGGGTCAAGTCTGAGACTGAAGTAGCCCTGTAGGCGGTAGATCCCTGTGCAGTCAGAGGAGCAAATCCTACCATAAAGAAGTGTAACCTTGGGAAAGGTATCATATTAACAGCAAGCTTTCTCAGATCTGCATTGAGCTGTCCAGGGAATCTAAGAGTTGTAGTAATTCCACTCATCACAACAGAAACAAGTCTGTTCAAGTCATTGTATCCAGGGTTGGGCAGCTTTAAAGTGTTAAAGCAAATGTCGTATAGCGCTTCATTGTCTATACAGAATGTTTCGTCACTGTTTTCAACCAGCTGGTGAATACTCAAAGTTGCATTGTATGGCTCAACCACGGTGTCACTTACCTTGGGAGAAGGCACCACACTGAAAGTACACATCATTCTTTCTGGGTACTCTTCTCTTATTTTGCTGATTAGAAGTGTTCCCATACCTGCTCCAGTTCCTCCACCAAGTGAGTGGGTGACCTGGAATCCTTGCAGGCAGTCGCAGTTTTCTGCCTCTTTTCTAATTACATCCATTACAGAGTCAACCAATTCTGCACCTTCTGTGTAGTGTCCCTTTGCCCAGTTATTTCCAGCTCCAGACTGCCCGTGTATAAAGTTGTCTGGCCTGTACAGCTTGCCGTATGCACTCTCTTTTATTACTTCCATTGTACCTGGTTCTAGGTCTACTAAAACTGCTCTTGGCACATATTTTCCACTGGATGATTCATTGTAGTAAACAGAAGCCCTGTCCAGCTGGTATGAGTTGGCTCCTACGTAGACTCCGTCTCCATTTATTCCATGTTCATCACTTATTACCTCCCAGAATTTGGATCCAATTTGGTTACCACACTGACCTGTTTGTAAATGTACGATTTCCCTCATGTATTAACAGGGGTGAATTTATAAGAAAATAATAAATAAAAAATAGAGAGGAGTAATCATGCCATCTATGTACACAGCAGTATACAGTCATAAGAATGCTATGATGTATGAGTCAGAAGCAGCGGGAATAAGCCGAATGCTGGTGCACTCCGCAGTAGAAATAATGAGCTGCGAAATAAAAGAGAGGAAAGAGCACCTCTTTATCAAAATAATAGAGTATAATGGGTTAAAGGTAAGTGGCCTACTCCTAGAGAATGGGTATAGAGTCCTATGTGTCTTCCAAAGTGGGGAAAGTGAAAAAAAAGAAATGGAAGAGGTTGGAAATCTGTTTAGGCAGAAGGTATTACAAGGAGAATTTAATCGATTTGAATTTTAATTTGTTATGCTGGGAACGCACATAAATTATATACAGGAAAAGCCGGAGATGGTAGAGCTAACGGCAGTGCTAAGCGGCAAAGAGGGATCCTTTTCTGAGGAAGGTACTCTTGTGCAGGTAATTGAAAAAAGGCATAATAAGAAGGCAAAAAGACAGAGTATAGGGAAGAGTCGTGGTATAACAGTCCGAGAAAAGGCAAAGAGCATTAGCAATTCACCGTTAAATATTTTAGAAGAGAGCAGAAGCAGACAAAAGACACAATTTAGTGGTATTTTTGGAGAAATAGATATTAATGACGGAACATACTTAGTCTATGTGAAGGAGAGCAGAGTGGTTGGAGAGATAAAAGGAGAAAAGGTATACGAAGCACTTGATTGTGGGAGCATATGCATTGACGGCTTGGAAGATCCAATGATAAAAGGCGTGTTTACTGAGTTTTTCAAAATACCAGGAATGTTCTTCTCCAAGTATAATTTAGGAAATGCAGGCTCATCTGTTAAAGAAAACACAGACTTTATTTACAACTTTATTCCTTTATCGAAGTTTAGACAGAATAATCCCGATGCAAGTATGTTTGGGATTGAGCTAATACAGGGTTTTTTTGGGCAATGTGCTCTTTCGGGGAAGGTGAATCTCATGTGCACACTTATAAGCCGGCGGTCGTGGAGAAATGCAGGGACACGCTACTATGCTAGAGGATCGGACCCTAATGGAGATGCAGCCAACACGGTAGAAACGCTCTTAATTGCCGAGGGAGAAGAGGATAACAAGCCGATTCAGCGGGAATTTATACAGTGCAGAGGGTCAATTCCATTATCCTGGGAGCAGAAAATAAATTTGTCATACAAGCCACCCATTAGAATGGGGAGCTGCGATGTAAGCAGGCACTTATTCTCAAAGCACTTAGGCGTTCTGCAGCGAAGGTATGGTAGATACTTTTTTGTCACACTGCTAGACATCAAGGGACATGAAAAAGAACTTAACAGCAAATTTACAAATGCGCTCAAGGAGACAGGCTGTAAATATTTAGCAGTAGACTACCATAAAATGGTCAAGAGCACAGAGGAAAAAAAGCAGTTCAAAAAAAGTCTGAAGGAGATACTTTCAAATAGATGCATAATACGGACAAACTGCGTTGACTGCCTGGATAGAACCAATGTAGTTCAATCACAACTTGCCAAGATACGTCTGGTAGAGTTGTTAGGGCTAAAGGAGTTTTCTAGCAATAATGACGTTTTAGACATCGATGACTATTTAAATGAAAGCTCAATTAAAAAGTTTGGGCAGCTCTGGAATAGCAATGCAAATATGTTATCAATGCAGTACACAGGAACATCTGCACTGAAAAACGACTTGACGGAGCACGGGGTAAGAACCATAAAAGGGCTAATACAAGATGCAATAAGCAGCGGAAAGAGGTATGTAAACAACAATTTCACCGATGGCAGGATGCAGGAGATTATTGAAGTTATTACCGGAGTACGGCAGACTCTGGGAAACTGTATTAGGGGGGATAGAAAGATTGAAATCTATGTAGCTATCTGGGCAGTGATTATTTACTGTCTATATAGGCGCAGCACTAGTGCAGGGACAGCAGGGCTAGTTTGTTTTATACTTCTGTTTAGAAGTGCACTCTTTTTCTGCCTGTCATTTCCATCTCCCCTTACAGCAACTAAAAGCCGAATAAGCGAAAAGCCAAATGCGTCTACGTTATAGAGATTGAATAAAAACAAACATGGAACTAGTTTAGTACGCTTTAATCTATAAAAATCTGTTTTCAATGTTCAATTTAGCTACAAATCAGATATTAGCATAGAAAGCATCTCCCCTAATATTCTTATAATGATTTTAGAACTGGAGATTTATTAAATAACCCATCTACTCTTATAATCGCGTATATATGAGCACATTAACACGGCAAAAGAAATGGTACTTTTTGTTAAAATATTACATGAATTATTATACTCGTATGCCTATCTTAATTTAGGGGCGCTTACCACAGATTGAGAGTGGTGTAAATGCGATAATGTAAAGACTGATGATAAAAACGAAAATATAGCAAGGAAAGTAATTAAAAATACTTCTGTCACAACAATGGATTCCCTCCATCAGAATATTATTTAAAGAGCATTAAAACTATATGCAATCCATGCATAAGAGAGTATAATAAATCAGTGGTAGAATCTGGAGATTTATTAAATTCAAATAACCCTGCTGTACTCACACATAAAGACTTAGCTCTTATAAACAACATGCGCGGATATGAATATTCATTCACAAAATGTTTACTAATATATTATTTTATTCAGGAAATGCGATAAATATAAAATAATACAGTACTGTAGCTCCTCTTTAACCAAACCAAATCCAGCCAAATTAATAGCAGGCAATTATTTATAGTCTAAAATTGCTTCTATGCATTACTTTTAGAAGTAGTTTAATTATTTTACAATAGTAGAGAAATAATAAAATAAATACGTAATAAAAATAAATTTAGTCGATATATTCACATAGCACAGTAAATAGACAATAAACACCACACCAAGCCCATATTTAATCATAATTATGAACAAGTGATAATAAACATATAATTAGCAGAATAATCATAAAGATAAAGGAAATTCAAAGAAGAAAATAAAACTTTGATTTTCTGGGTATATTTAGAGTATTACAATTATTAAGTATGTAATATTGCTTCTAGCATTGGAATATAGCATAATATACAGTATGATATGAAAATTAGTATAATATACCAATGACTGTGCACTAAGTATTTAGAGTTATTTATTGGTCTATTGAAACATATACATAGTAGAATAGTCTCTCCTGATATACTGATGCATGTTGGGATGAAAATAATACCAAAATCAACATCTATTTTAGTGGGTGTTATAAAGTATGGAGTAAGTGCAATACAGGCCGCGGTAGTAAGAGCATTGGTGCACAAACATGTTGAGCCCGTTATAACTGATAATATAATAACGCCTGCTATTGAATACGCAACTAATACAAATATATTCAAAACAGTGGCAACATACGTATTAACAACTATAGGAGCACAGGGCGTTTGTCTATCTGGCGCAGGCACAATGGATAAAATAGGTGCCCACATAACGAATACTATGAACTCATCCGTTTTGGGGATGTACTATCACGCAGCCAAGAACTCCTGCAGTATTTTTAAAAGTATGTTTATAATACTGCCACTGTTCCTAGTAATGTACTATGCCATATCAAATACTATCATAATACGGCATATTTATAAAAATAAGAAAAATTATGCCACAACAATCAGCCTAGGCTGTGGTATAGCACTTCTTGGTATCTTAGGGTCATATTACTACTGCTTCTATAAGAACAAATGCTAATCCACATATTTCCTGCACTAATAAGAAACCTTCCTTTTTTATTACAGATGAATATAATATTATTTTATATATATGGAATAGTTGAGCTGAATGTGCTAATAAGAGCCATTACTAACCAAAGACAGGAAAATGAAAATTATTTATTCAATGCATTTCAAGCATTTCTTATAGGCGTATCACTCATAATTATAACCACATACGGTATTTCAGTAGGATGGGTATACTTTGCAACTATAAAACCTGCATTGTTATCCTTCGTATAGAAATATTCTGCTGCTGTATATAATTACATTGTTTATTAAGTAATTCCAACTGTATTTATTGCCAATTCATATTACCTATTAATTAAATGTCTATTCATATGTTTATCATATAAATATAAATATTCTATTTTTTTCTTTGTTATGAATAGATCAAGCGAAATTGAGTTGCTTACATGGATTAAAGGCATACTTTCACTGAAGATAAATGAAAAAACAGAGAACCTAATGGACTTGCTAGCAGATGGGATGGTTTTATGCAATCTCATAAACGCATTTATTCCTAACAAATGCAAAGCAAAGCAATCTTCTATTGTATTTAAGAAAATGGAGAACATTGACATGTTCTTAAGGGCGGCAAAGGAAATAGGTGTATTAGACAGCGAGCTGTTCCAGACTGTAGATTTGGTACAAGAAGACCGAAGAAACCCAAAGCAGGTTGCAATATGCCTGTACTCTCTTAGCAGAAACTTAAAAAGACAATTCCCAAATTCGAAATTTAAAATAATTGGACCTAAGCTAGCAAATCCAAACATTCGAGAATTTACACAGGAACAACTGGATATGGGAAAGAAAATAATAAGTGTTCAAATGGGAACAAACAAAGGAGCAAATCAGTCTGGACATGGAACTGGTGTAAGGCAAATAACCCCAGGATATGAATAATATTTAATTTATTAAATATGCAATGTTTTATTTTTAGTATATGATATTAGGAAGATCTATTATTTTCTTTACGCTTTATCTTTGTTGTCTTTGGATGGTATCTGCTGATAACTATCACTCCGAGGGCGTAAAACGCATTGTATGCAATGGATCAGAACTTAATGTAAAATGCACTGGGACTAGATGGAAAATATCTTATCTGGGAACTGATGAATCTGTATCGATTGAAGAAACAGGCAATTCTATATACATAACAGGTGTAGAAAAAACCTTTTATCCGACGAAGTATATGGATGGGAGTATTTTATACCCAGATGGTTATAGACTAGTTCTCCACTCAGATGTTGTATATAATGGTGTTCCCATAAAAATAATTATAATGGCTAGTGTGATATTTTTAATTATTGCTGTGTCATTTTTATTATTCTTAAGGCTGGAAGTATTCTTTCTTAAAGAAGACAAATGGCATAGAAAATATTTTGTATGAATATGGAAAGGCTCCCGATTATTTCAGAAATATATGGTGATAAGAATTCTGGGAGGAGTGAGTTTTGTTATTACATGGCGCAAAATGTAAACTCATTATGGATAGAGTCGTGTAAGAGAACGTGCACTAAAACAGCAGACTCTCTTATGATAGACTTAAACAGCATGCATATATGCAAGATAGAATATGTTCATTTATTAGTAAATAAGCTAAAAACAAATGAAATTCAATGCTTTATAAAAGATCACAAGGTAAACCTTCTTGTAATTAATAATTTAGATGATTTTCTAGCTGATTGTACAGAAAGAAAATGGGAGTATGCCGAGCTGGTGAAGAATTTAAAACTTTTGTACATCACGCATTCTGTAAAAAGCATAATTATAACACAAAGCAGGCCAGAGCAGTTTAAGCCTGTAGTAATTGGCAACAGGCCCATGTGGAGCACAAGCACAGACAATAAATCTAATGAATATGCACAGGAAGAGGATGAGAGGGGTTTTGGTATAAATATAAATATTTACAATATATTGAAAAGGTATAAAAAAGAAAAGATCCCTAAGTCAACTGCAGAGTCTGCCCTATGGAACATGTGCATGCCCACCAGATTTTATATAGAAAAAACCCCTGCTGCTGAAATACGCATTTTAAAGGTAATAAAGCCCAAACTAGCAAGCAATCCTGAATATATACTAAATGCAACCCCAACAAGAATAACCATGAAAAGAATTGAACCAAGCGACAATTAGTCTGTACAATACTCTAAGGATGCAATATACTGCAGGATACCTATTCTTTTGTAAATTTGGGAAGTTTAGTTTTAAATATAAATAAAATATATTTTTATAGTGGATGATTCTTACACTTCCCTCCTTTCTTGTACGGCGCATAGTAAGAAAGGGTTCATTACGGGAGTTAAATGGAATAAAGGAGATTGCACTGACAGGAAAGATAATTAGAAGAACCAGAGGTACTGCTATACTTTTCGACTCATTTTCAGGCATTTCAATACAAACAAATCATCCTATGCTGCAGAAGGAGATAGACAAAAGCATAGAAAATAACTATTCTGTCCATGTTACTTGCGATGTAGAAAGAATTCCAAAGGCAAGGCTTCGTGTAAAATCTGTTAGAAAGTGCACTTTCTATGAAGAAATGTACAGAACAATTGAGGCAATTGAATTTTGGAAAAAGGTTCAGTTTCAAAAACAACCAAAGTAACTGAGATCAACAAACATTAGAATACATATAAGAAAAAGGAATAAATAGAAGAATGCTAAAGGCACAGCCACTCTATACTAAAGAAAGAGAAAAGTCTGATATGGCCGATTTAGAAATATTAGGAGGGATTTCCTTTGATTTACACATCAACAAAGATGAGGAAATTAAAAATTCATTTGTTTCTTTAGTTGGCAAATTAGGCACCCGGGAATTTTTAGAGGAGTACTGTGTGTTATACAGCAGAATAATGGCAATACGGAACAAGAGGGGACAGAGCATATACCACGCAGATATACCACAGTTTGCATTTGAGCAAGAAAGCGTAGAAGATTGTATAAGTGAGCCAGCAACAAAGTCACTATTAGATTCCTGCACTCTTCTTCAAGAAATATCCATAAGCAGTGATTATGTAAATAAGAACCCATAAGAATGCCTATTGTAAGCTGGCATGATATATTGTACAGAATAAATTTTTATTAAGCAAAGCAAGAATCGATTGTTTATTTATGCATAAATGCCCATATTATTATAAATATTTCATGTAGGATTAGATTCTTCCAAGTACACCAAATACAAAATAGAGTGAAGTAAATAGGGCATTATTACAATATTATTGTAATAATACAGACAGATGAACTAGTACTGGGTTTTATTTAAAATCAGCTAAATTGTGTTTATTGGCCATGCATGTGCATTTATGTTTATATTAAGCATAGTGCGCGTGGAAATAATTGAAATTACTAAGTGTAAGCCATAATAATGAATAATTTTATACGCCAGCCCGAATACTTAAAAAATCAAAATAAAAGTATTAATAGAAGAATTAAATAAAGGAGGCAAGAGAAATACAAATCTAGTATAATCCGAAATAAACCTAAAATTAAATCACTGAGTAACACAAGAGCACACTCATATACCAATAGAAGAGTCAGAAAATTCTGGATAATATTGAATTTATTATATAGGAGAGTAATCTACACTCGTATTTTTACAGTAATAGAGCATAAGTATACATTAAAACAGTAAATATACATTAAAATCTTAAATATACATGAAACAGAAATAACGATAAGATGCTCTGTTTTAATTAGAATACAGAGTATGTAAAACAAGAAATTATAAGTTTTATAATTAATGTCTGTTTATTTCTATTTATACGTATTAATACAGTATTATTTCAATTTTTCATAGAACATAGTAGAAATAGCAAGCATTCTGGTAAAACCAGAGTAGACACGGTGTAAACTGTTATACGTATATTATAAGCAACCAGAAAATTATTCTGAATTATTCCATTTTGTAATAAGAAGTCCAGCGCGTATGTGTAACAGTAGACAGTTCATTCTTTCTATTTTCTAATTATGTGTAATAAGTATAAGAAGTGGATATAATGAGTTTTTATTACTATATGCATTAATACTATTTATAATACAAGAGAGCACATGTGTAATATAAGTTATATGGCATATTATAAGAAGAAGCACTGTATTGCCCTCTATTTTAATTTAGAAACACCGTATACATAGAAACCATGTGTACCTCTCTGATTATATTAGAGCATAGATTATGAATTTATAGCAGTATACAGTGTATAGGATATAATTCAGAAATATCTTGAAATAATGGAGTTAATAAGTATTTATATACAATACCAGTGGTTTTATGATTAATACGGATGAGTTTGTATTTCGGGTTGTATTCTAATGGTATTTTACTATTTCTGATTAACAAAAGTACTATCAAATATAGAAGATATATTGAATATTATACTTTATTCATTATTATTCCTACTAAAATTTACTCTATACAAATTGCTTTCTTTACTTACCTATTGATAACTTGTTTCTGTAGTATCCCAGTCTGATGTCATGCTTGAGTAGTTAGTGGTTGTATCATCTATACTGTCCTCAATATACTTATCATCCAGAGTCTGCATGTACTTATATAGATGATTTTTGCTTGATGTGAAATTAAGTCCTTTGCACACTCTGACAGGGGGTGTTTTTGCTTTGTGGTCATGCAGAAGTGTCCATATGCAGTATGAGAGCACAGCAAAAAAAACTCCTTGAAAGGCCCAGAACATCCTGGTTCTACTTGTTTTGAGTAGTGGCATGCGGTGCTGCTGCAATTTTCAGGATTAGAAGATGGTGCGATTTTTGGTTTTAGATTCCACGAATAAATAAATGCAGAAGTGTCGAATAAAATATGAAAAATTTTCCGGTACAAGAAAGAGCAAAAAGCGCCCTTGGCGTACTATCCTCTATTCTTACTGCGGTTACAGTGATTGCCATACCAATAATTCTCTCTCTAGAGAAGGCAAATACAAAAAGAAATATTCTACGCCATGAAAATAAATAGATGCGAGTATTTATTCAAATTTCACATGTCTTTTGTTGCTTGTGTTCTCAGATGACCAAGTTCTCTTGTTACCAAAGCCAGATGATCTGTCAGAGTTATCTCTTCTTCCGTAGGAGTTGTTGTTGTCTCGTCTTCCGAAAGAGTTTCCGCCTCTTGGAGCTGGAGAGTTCTTTCTCTCGGAGATTTGTGCTCTAATGTTTCTATCCATGTATACTATGTTTGAGTTAATAAGTTTCTGAGCTTCTTCAACTGACTCGCAGGATGCAAATGCAAATCCTTTTGGTCTTCCAGTTTCTCTGTCCTCTGGGATTCTTACCTGACTTACCTCTGCGTATGTCTTTAAGTGGGAGAGGAAGTCCTCGTGATCAACATCAAATGGGATGTTTCCTAAGAAAACTGTGCTGTCATCGGTCTTGTTGTATACCTTCTGGCCATCTGCACCAGCTCCAACTCTCTGTCCGGATCTGGCGAGGTCTACTACTATACTTCTTCCGTTAAAGTCGGTTCCATTTAGCTCTCTGCTCTTTTCGCAGGCCTCCTTGGTCTCAAACTCAACGTATCCAAATCCTTTACCACCTGGTCCGTCTCTGCTTCTTGGGATTCTTACTTCAACAATGTCTCCGAATTTTCCAAAGAGCTCTCTTAAGTCTTCTTCAGTTGCGCTGAAGTTAAGTCCTTTGATGAAAATTGTTCTCTCATCCTTGGACTCTTCTGGCTCTGCCTTCTTCTCTTCCTTAGCAGACTCTTCAGAGGCAGACTCAGATGCTGAGCTTGATCCTTCCTCTTCTTCAGAGCCGGTTTCTGTTGGAGATTCGCTTGCCTCTTCTACAGAGTCGTTGCTTATGGTTTCAGACGCAGTCTGCTCCTCAGAGTCTACTGGCTTTTCAACCTTCTCTACTAGAGTCTCCTCCTTCTTAATATTTGTTTCTTCCTTCTTGTTCTGTGTCTTTCTTACTGCCATTACCAAGGGTATGGAATATGTAAAATTTTTTCATTTTATAGTTAAAATTTGTCTAAAATTTTTCACGCATTGCGAAAAACTTCAATTTTCATTATAATTAAGATTTAATTAAAAGTTCCCGCGGTTTTGACAGACTCTAAAAATCACCCAAACCCGACAGGACCTCCTGAACCCCACACTGCCACCACTCCCTCTACTAACCCATACACACGTAGACATAACCAATTATTAATTGTATTTATTTCTGTTTAAAGCACAATAGCAAATGCAAATACTTTTCTAATTTCTGGGATGAGAACTCCCTGTACAGAAGAGAACACACCCACCCTCACATTCTTGCCATCTGTGATAATTCCATTCTGAATGATAAATGACTCTGGCAGGGATAGAATGCCATTTATACCATAGTATGGCAAGTATACTTCTACTTTATCAGTGGATATACCCACTACAACTAAATTCATCACTTGCTTCATGATTAAGTACCTAACGTATAACTGATTCGCATGCCGTGCCACCATCTTGGCATTTCTGTACGATCTGTTAACTGAGTCACAGATGCTCTCCAGTCTTGTTTCAGTCACTGGTGAATATCTCTGGTGGTTCATTGCACTGTACAGTATTCTGTGCACAATGACATCAGCATACCTTCTAATGGGAGAAGTAAAGTGCGTATAATAATTCATTGCCAGACCGTAATGTAATTTACACCCTACAGAAGAAGGCGAGTAAACAGCTTGTGTCATACACTTAGTAGCCCATGCACCAATAGTACTTTTCAGTACATCTGTAGTAGAGTACTCCTTCAGGGTAACTGATAATTCAGATGGTTTTAATGGGTTCAGTTCAATGCGTGAATTAGTGTGCTGTGAGAGTGCCACTTCTAATTCCTTAAATGCAGATGCAGATGGTCTTGGATGGACTCTTATTAAAGACTCCTTAGGGTATACTTCTGATATGTACTTGGCCACATGCTGATTAGCAAGTAACATGAACTCTTCAACGAGTGAGTGCGTATCATGTTCTTCAGAGTGTGCATCTTCTGTTATAATATGCTCTGATGGGTTATACGCTATTTCATTGAAATACTTCTCTGTCCTTGCAGATATTCTGCACTCGTCTGAGTGAATCACAAATGCACCCGTTCGAAGCCGTTCCCTCTTTAAAAGACTTGAAATATTCTTAAGAAGTTGGATGGAGTGCAATAATTCCTGTGATTTATACTCTCCCGCCTCTAAGATAGCCGATGCTTGATCATATGTAAAGGACTCTTTCGATCGGATTATGGATTTAGTAAACCTTCTGTCTAAGAATACCACTTGATCCTGGACTATCCGTACTTTCCAGATAACTGAGAATGCCAACCTGTCCACATTCTTATGGAGTGAGCATAAGTTAGTCCCTAATAGAGGAGGAAGCATATCAATCCTTCTATTAGGGAGGTATGTCGTACACCCTCTGATCCTGCCCTCTCTGTCTAAATTACTATCCTCTTTTACAAAATGTGTAACATCTGCTATATGTACACCCATATCAATAGTTCCATCTTCATTATACTTAGCATGCAATGCATCATCTATATCTATACACCCTTCTGGGTCTATACTGGCTATGGGGTACCCTCTTAAATCTTCTCTTTCATTTAAGTCATCGTGTGATACTGTCCAATCCTCATTAGGCAGTTCCTGTACAGCAGATATTTCAAATGGCTGGTCCAGTATGGCATGGTGTTCCAGGAGTGCAGCTGTTTCTGCTTCTATACTCTCCTTCTCACCCGTATCCTTTATTATATACCCCACAGGGTATTTCTCATTTACACTCCATTCTTCTACAACCCCTAATAATACTCTTTTATCTAACTCCAGTAGAATATCTGAAATATCTTCGATAGTTCTTCCGTTAATACATGATAATCTACAAATAACATTAGGAAGATTATTCATCTCAGGCTCAACCAGGATATGTCCACTCTCCTTATCTAAAACCTTTAAAATCCTGCATGGGAATGGTTTCCTACTCCTTCTCTCTACACTTATAACTCTCCCTATACGCGCATCTCCATCCTCTGTAAGTACCTCTACAATAACATAATCCCTATCAATGGCCCTATTAAGATACTCTCTGGGTATACTTATACACATCTGGTACCCTTCTATGTTACACAATAATATACCTCCTGAATCCCTGTCCTCAATAGAAATAAACCCCTTTTCAGTCCTGTCCTCTATCTTTATAATATCCTCTTTCCCTAAATATTCCATATTCTTATCACATACGTACATACCCCTAATACTATCACTGGGTAACACAGAACTGTACACAGTTGATATAAATAACCCCATCGAATATTCCGAGCGTACTTCTCTCTGTGAGTGCACTGATACATACTTATACTTCATATTATGTATATTATACCACATACTCACCATATCATAATAAGTACTCCCTGTACTTTTATTCTCTTCTACATATTTATATATACTCTCATAATAAATATCCTCTAATACGAATAAGTTATACCTGTCTATGATTATACTTAACCTTCTATACGTATTAATATACTTCCTCTTTAACTCCATCACAGCAGTCCTTGTTATAATAATATTCCTGATGGTTTTAGTCTCTATAAATGAAATAAAGTCATTCAGAAATTCATCAGATACGATATAAAATGTGTCCGTGCCAGATTCCTTAATCCTTGGATTAGTGCTCCCACAGCACTCAAATCCACACTGAATATTTTTACTTAAATATATTTGTGTTGGTAATTTCAAGAGTTCTCCCCTTTTATTCTGTCTGTATACTGTATATATTCTATCCATTCAGTATAAAAAAATTTGAATGGAGCAGATTTCTGAATTTATAGACTGTCCAGTTTCTGTGAGGACATACTGTGGTAGTAATTATTATGGTACATTATTAGCTATTGATCAGTACTTAAATATTGTATTACAGAATGCCACAATAGACAGTGACATCAAGAAAGGGTTTCTATTTGTGAAGGGTTCGAATATTCTTCTTCTTACTCTAGTAGAGTAAATATGTTATTTATAAATAAATTATACAGTAATTTAATACACATAGAGTAATAAGTAATATAAGTGAGATAATATTTAAGTATATGTATCATAAGTAATTATAGTGATAACAAATTATAATACATATAGTAATAAGTAATATAAGTGATATAATATTTAAGTATATGTATCATAAGTAATAATAGTGAGATAAGTAATAACATATAGAGTAATAAGTAATAAAAGTGAGATAAATTATAATACATAGAGTAATAAGTAATATAATATTTGAGTGTATGTATCATAAATAATATAAATTATAATGCATATAGTAATATATTATAATTTATACACATAGCACAGTAAGTAATAAAAGTGATAGATTATTGAGTGTATCATAAGTAATATATGTTATAATACGGTTATTTAATACACATAGTATAATAAGTAATATAATATTTGAGTTTATGTATAATAAGTTTTAATAATTTACTTTATTTAATACACATTGTTCCTTGAGTATTATATAATTTACAACACAATCACTCTTATATAATAATTAATACATATTGGTTTAAAAATAATGTATATTAAAATAAATTATTACTAATTGTTTTATATATTCTGTTATTTATTAGTACATGTACATAAAATAATTTAAAAGTGTAATATATTTTATTTATATAACAGGACTATTTACACAAACACGCATAATATTTAATCAGAGCATGGAATTTACTTTTTACTCATCTGCATGAACATATAAAAGAAGTACTACATCCTCTTTGAATAACGGTAATTTAAGAATCTGTCCATCAATGAATGTAATCCAATTAATCCTCTCTACATTCTCGTCCAGATTGTTTAAAAATACTCGGTCATCTAATATCTGTGTGAAGTAATACCCACCGTATGTATTGTTCTGGTATATAACAGCTGCTTTAAGCCTATAATTAAGGAAAGAGTTCTTAGTCTCGGGTTTAAAGGCTTCCTTGCTAATACTCTTACTGCCCAGATGGTTCTTAACAAAAAATGAAGGTAGTTTACAGTATATATCCTGAGGTATTAGTCTAGAAGTAATTAAATGACTGTTTTCATACGGGGCCGGTACACCTTGTTCATTTAAGGATTCACTCGGTCTTTTTGCTGATATCGTCTCTTTCTTTTTTCACACTCCCTGTGCGGAATCGAGAGAGTTCTTTGTATCTTACATTCTGTGTTTTCTCCAAGGATGGAATTTGTTGGTTTCTTTAGCCGGATTGTCATAATATTCGGAATATTTGCAAGGTAGGAAGTTACTGTTTTTATTGGTGCACCACATCTACACGCTTTATCCAGTTGTTTAATAGAGAAGAACTCTGAAATGCTCTGATTTGGCTTTAAGTACAAAATGCACAACTTCTCAGACCTGTCCCATTTCTCTTTACAGTTATTACATATGATTATTGACCGCAGTAGAATATAAAAATGAGTTGTCAGATTCTTCTCATCATCTTCAGGCATTTCATTTTTCTTTAGCATAGACATAAAATTACGGAAGAACCTTGCTGCATCGACATGAGAATCTTCATTATAAGGTTCGAACCCACTATTAACAAGATCTTCAATATGATCGGTAAAAATGTACTCAGTCTTCTCTAAAACTAGCATATTTATCACTTTTGCTATAATTTCATTCACTGCATTTTTAAATTCTGTGTTTTTTTCCGTTATTATTAAATCGTCAAAAATCGGAATTATTCCCATATTAAGAATACAGTAAGAAATGCTTTGAATCACAGATAAAACATACCCAGAAGGTAAATTACTACTCTCTGGATTATTTGATATAAGCTTGCCTTTAGTGCATTCTGTACACTCTTCTTTTCTTTTTATTAGGTCCACTTCTGTACATTCATTACACATGGAAAGTGCCGTGTACCTGGAATTGAATATTTTATAGACTATTTCATTCTGCATGAATATACTGCAGTAACTGCAAAATGCTTGCATCTCATGGTTCTGTGGATTAAAGCAGTTTAAGTTTATGAAAATAGAATGTTCAGTCCGTTCAAAATGCATATGCGCATGACCATTCCCCATTACATTATATCTTTGCCCTCCACAGTATACAAGACCACATGTAATACACAGCCACCTATTCTCACGCAGTGAGCATATGCAACACTCACTAAAATTATAATTAAGGGATATCTTGGATATATTATCAAATACTCGTGTCATTTCTTTAAATACTTTAAAGATATGCATGCACGGCGCATGCTTCTGTTGCTTGCTAATTAAACTTGCTGCTAGCCCTTTATATTTAAGTACTTCAAGTGCCCCTTCAATCAGGGAACAGTCATTGTCAGATATCTGCACGCATAATACCCCATTCTCTAATGCCATCTGAATCGGATACTTTGTATGGTTCTCAAAATTATGGAAGAATGCATGCTTTTCGCATAATTCTGCACCACATGAACAAATAAAATAAATACTCTTATAATCCGGGTCCAGGCACTGTTGACACTTTCCCTGTAGAAACCCTGCCAGAAACTTCATGCACAACAAGATACTTAAACATTTTATAATTTCGCGTATAATCACACTGATACCGTTTATTCATTAGACAATTTATAGAAAAGCATGGTTGCATCGGGTAGAAGCAACTTCTGAATTCCCATTTTATCATTGTCATGAACTAAATATGCTGCTTTTTCTGTTATCCCCGTGGATGGTTTATGCTTTTTATGTACTTTCTCATTATGCACAGACTTTTTTGGGTGCTCGCTTATTTCTTGTGGTTTTTGTGAGTGTACATGCTCCTTTTCATACTCACTGAATAGAAGTTTTCCTAAGTCATAACTCTCTTTAAGAGGCACCTGTACAATATAATGACCGGCTTGTGCTGTTCCTCTGTATATAATTGCTGCCTCAAGTACATACTTTACCTCTTTCCCGGCCACGTCCTTTACTGTAAATTCTGTTGGATTCTCTTTATTCTCATCTATATTTAAACCCTTCCCTACACACACTGTAAATATACTTGGTGCATGTGTAAGATACGTTCTTTGTTTTTTCTTCCTCCCACACTCACATTTAGCCTGTACTTCTTCTTCAGCAAATAAATCATTCACTGTTTGGTTGAATCCTATATAAAGAATAGATGCAGTTTCTTTTTGTTTTGTAATAGAATCACATTCACGGCACACTGTGTGAATCTCCTGCTGAATCTTAAAACAGTCAAATAGTCCTGTAAAGTGGCCCATTTCACTATAACTCTCTATAAGTGTGAGTAAGGCCAAAAAATACTCAGATGCATCCTGCTGTGTACCTACAACATAAACAGGATAAATACTGGAAATTACTTTACAGAACTGATTAACAGAAAAATTACCAGACTTCTTCTTATGCGACCACTCAATCCTCTTAAACACTTTCTTAAACTGACACCCAAAACATTCTTTAGGCCGCTCACACTCTGTTGGATATACAGGATTTACTCTCTCACTGCACTCAGTAGCTGAAATACAGTATGTAATTGCTTGAAGTACCGATGAGATATAACAAGTATTCCCCAAATCAATTATCCCCTCATCTGCGCATACTTTAAAATACGGAATAATCTGCTTCTCACCCTCAGTTTCTAACCTCTGATAAATATCTTCTTCTTTACTGTTAAGCCTCTTAGATATTTCCATTGTGTTTAAAACCACAGATGAATCACTCTCAGAAATATCCGCATTTTCAGTTACTTTACTACTTTTTATTTCTTCTACTTTTTTTATTTTTTCTATTTTCATTTTTTATATTATTTCTTATACGGCCGTATATATCATGACTAATCATGTCATCACATTTATAACAGTATACATCCGCAATCTTTCTAGTGCTATCTATGCTCTGCACTTTTAAATATACAGAATGTTCATTATCCGCTGTATAATGATTCATGGCATGCCCATTCCCTTCTATTCCGTACTGCTGTCTTCCACACAGTACTTTATTGCACTTTATGCATACCCAAGAATTACTATTTATATCACACTCAGTGCACTTATCCGTTTCTATATTTATATCTCCTTCTGGGCTTAAATGTGTACACTTTTTAATTCTTATTCCTTCCACTGAGGGTGTGAATAAAAACTGTCTTACCTGTGATTCAATTGATGATTTATCTATATTCTCATCAGGTGTCTCTACCTGTACGTCAATATCTGGCATTACACCTGTGATAGTAAGCTGTATTCTTGTGTGCGCTGGTTCATTATGATTATGCGAATGTTTTATGCACATTTCAGTTCCACACTCACAGTAAATGAGTGATTCTGTGAATACGTCTCTAAAGCAGAAACTGCACTGGCCTGTAAAGTCATTGCAATAAAACATTATGAAAGAATAAAATATTTTTTTATTTTGTACCCCCAGATGGAAGTTGAGCAAAAAATCCAGCCAGACGTAGAAATAGTAGATGCAGAAGTACCAGCAGAAACAGTTGAGAAAGCACAAGAGAAGATAGTTTTTGGTGTGGCACATATTTATGCCTCACACAATGACACTTTTGTTCACATAACTGACTTGACATCAACCGAAACCATATGCAGAATAACCGGAGGTATGATTGTTAAAACAGATAAAGACGAGAGCAGTCCATACGCTGCCATGTTTGCCGCACAGAGAGCTGCAGAGTTAGCAAAAGCAGCCGGATTCAATGCAGTTCACGTAAGAGTAAGAGCCAGTGGAGGAGTAAAGACAAAGACACCAGGACCCGGAGCACAGAGTGCACTTAGATCACTTGCTAGAAATGGTCTGAGAATTGGAAGAATTGAGGATGTCACTCCAATTGCAGCTGATAGAACAAGAAAGAAGGGAGGAAGACGTGGAAGAAGACTATAATTGGTCTGTCTCTTGATATTTTCTTATTAAATGCTAGTTAGTTTTACTTTATACTGTTTATTATGTACGTGACATATTCTGTGTTTATTATTGTATACGGTGTGTATTGGTATAACCAGCAGACAGGCCTTTGGTTTCTGCTGTCCTCCATGGAGTATTAAAGAGAAATAGAATAAGTTAATGTACAGTTGGCTTATAATAGAAAATGAATGGATAGTATTACGAATCGGATGTATATCTCTTTATTAGTAATTATCTATCTTCTTCCATACTTTTCCTTGAATACTTGCAGGGGAAGTTTCTGTTGAGTGAATTGCCAGGGTCTTTGCATAGCAAATATTTCATTGTCTTCTACGCATATTCCATCTATTACCGCAGATACGTCGAGTGTTTTTATTTCTTTTGTCTCTTCTAGTATTTTTATTTCATTTTGGCATGCAATGAATATTTCCTTGTTAAGTACTTGTACATCCATGATTGGTGTTTTAAATACCATGCCTGCTTCTTCTAATTTCTTTCCTTTTAAGTCAAAAACTGTGAGAATTCTGCTGTCTTTAAGTTCTGCTTTAACACTCTGGCCTACTCCGTAGATTCTGTTATTAGAAAGTCTGCACAGGAAGTATTCAGTCTCTTTACTGGATATTTGCATGTGTTTGTTATCTGTGCTGTTGAACAGAATTATATCTGAACCACCTATTAATACTTCACATTCACTTCTTCCCTCTGTTATATGTGTTGGCACAAAACTTACACCTATCTCTGTTAATACCCACTCTTTTGGTTCTGGCACTACTGCATCTTTATTACTATCTAATTCTACTACAGTGAGGACGAGTCTTTTTTTCTTTTCCATTACACACCAGATACGCCTGTTTATTATCGTATGGTATATAACTGTGCCTTTAATCTGTGCCAGCATATTCACTGCTGTATTACAGTGGTTGTACTCATACGCTCTAACGCCCTCCTTTGTTCGTATAAAGGAAAGAGAGTCTAATGACTTAATATCAAGTATAGGACTCTTTGCTATATGTTTAAAAATACACTTACTCCTTATACTGTCATTCTCTTCATCTGGCCTTTCTACATTAAATATACCCATTTCTTCTTTTGCTGCACTGTACACTTTGTCATTGGTGTACGCCACGGGGTGAGTGGGATACTTTCTTAAAACAAGCCTTTTCTCTGTCTTATGTAAATGTACAACAGTTAAAGTTCCATCTTCTGAAGCGACCACAATATTCCCGTTGGATTCCCGCATGAACAGACAGTCACCATAACATACGTCATCCTGTGATTCTTTTCTGTAATACTTCCCGGCCTTTGTGTAGCAAATAATTCTTGAGTCAGCGCCTGCCATGAATACTTTATCCCCCATCGTGCACATAGTATTCAGAGAACTGTTACGCACGCTTATTGTCTGTTTTACTGCCCGCTGGTTTACATCAATAACATGGAAGGATCCTTCCATTGTACAACACCCGTACTCATCTCCTACGATGTGCACAATATCCATTACAGCTTCAGTGCATCCCCGGGGTTTATCCAGAATAATATCCATGGTTGCCCGGCCATTCTCTATTTTAATAACCCGGCCATCGTACATCCCGAGCACGTACTCATTTCTATTCTGCCCAAAGCATGCAGCACTAATGTATCCAGCATTTCTGTATACAAAAGAACCATTCACAAACACTTCAGAGCCCCCTTCTACTAAACTGTAAATAACCAGCTCCTGTTTTTGCCTGCACAGCACTTTCCAGACTCCTTCTTTTTTTCTTTTTTCACTGCCATTGTAAGAGTGTCCACATACGCTATTCCCTGTGTTAAGGACCCAATAACCAGCACATCGCCGTTGAACTCCATTGTTTGAATGTCCCGCATGCCTATGTCAATCCGTGCAAGACTGAATAAATGTGGGTTACTGAATAGTTCTATCACGCCACTTGACTGTGCAGTTGCAATATATCTATTGCTCACAGCCAGACCAGAAATACTCTCCGGCAGACTTGCCTCTCCTCTGTAGAGTACCAACTGCATTAAAATTTTTTTATCCAACTGTATTATTTTGTATACTTAGATTGGTATTTTTGAATTGCTTTCTATTGTTTTCTCCTTTGCACTTGCTCTTCTCTTCTTTTTCTTATCTTATATTCTTTAAGTCTTAATTTAATATCTGAAAATCTATTTAAATCCCAAAAAATTATAGAATAAACAAAGAGCAAAGATACAAAATGGATGTAAGAGCAATTTTGTCACCAGACAAGCGATTAAGAACAGAGTTACAAAGAAGAAAGATTGCCCTTTTAGTGGGCACTCAATGCTTCATTCTTTTTATGCTTATATTCTTTTTATTTAGACGGAAAAATAATTTCATGGGGGTACCACGACACACTCTCATTTTGGATACAATGTATGATTTGTGTGATCAGATAAACGATGAAGTTGACCGCTGTTTAAAAAAGCCAACCAGGAAGGAGCAGAACAATGAGTTCTCAAAGATAGATATTTCCGGGCTAATCCCCATTAGACTGTCAGAGATGACTGCTGCTTTTGAGCTAAATGGGGATATATCCCATTATTTATCTGTCTTAAATGAGAATATAAATACGAGCATTAGCATAAAGAACAGGATTATTATAAAAAGAGTGATACTTAAAGTAGAAAATATTCCCGAGGAAGAGGAAATATCTATGTTGGCAGATCACCCAAATGTTGTACACACTTATTTTACGTATAGATGCAATTACACGAATTATAAGGGGGTAGACCAGAAATTACTCTGGTTATTTATTGAACCATTGGATATAAAGGTGTCTATTAGGGAGCATGGCAAGAAAGAGAACGAGATTAGAAATATAATGAGGGATGTTCTCCTAGGACTGCAGTACCTTCACAGCAAGAATATTGCGCATTTAGATCTTAAGCTGTCCAATGTCATGGGGTATCATCATAATAATGAGTCAATTGTTTATAAGATTATAGACTTTGGATTCTCTCGGATACTACCACAAGGAAAAATAGAGCAAACGTATCCGAAAAGGTGCTACGGAACATTCCCGTACAAGCCCCCCGAGGTTTGGATATCAAGCATTCATGGGCTTGCTTCAGATGTTTGGTGCATTGGTGCTATGTCGCTTTTTTTAGCGAATAAGAAGTCCTCTTATTTCCAAAAGAAAGGAGCTGCGGATGCAGCAGGAAATACAAAAGACTATGCAGAGTTTAGAAGATTTTTAGAAGGAAAGGTAAAGATTCCCATAGATTCAGAATCATCACCAGAACTAGTTTCATTTATACAATGTTGTATGCGCAGAGCACCTGTTGACAGGCCTACTGTAGCGAAATTATTAAAGCATCCTTTCATATGCGATACTAAGCTTTCCCCTCATGAGGCTCAGAACATTCGGTATAGTATTTAAATAAATATCGCATTATTTATTAGATTTATTCATTTACTGCACTCTTTCCTATGGAATGCGTGTTTTTCACCAGTATTATGCAATAATTTCAATTGTTTATAACCCGAATATAACCTGAATATTATAAATGACAACAGAATAAATCAGGGTTTTAAGCCATAAACTCTAGATATCATTCATAAAATGGTATTCTAATGGGAATATCACTAAATACATAAGTATTATACATGAAATATAACCCGAAATAGTCTAAAATCCCCGGAAATAATACTTTTACAGTATATGCATATGAAAATAACAAAAATATCACTGGTAATAAGTGAATATCTAAGTGCTTAACATAAAATCAGAGTATTAGTAAGCTTACAGCAAGATAAATTTCAGTATAATTATCTAGATACATAAAACTAAAAAGAACAAAAAAATATTTTCATGACTGCAGGATTAACAGAAGAAAAGAATGAAGTACCGAACATTCAGATTGGGGAGGTGATAGCGCACGGTGCCACTTCAACTGTAAGAAAGGGGAAGAGTCAAAGTGGTGCTGAATATGCAATTAAAATAATATTTACAGAGACACAGAATAGAAAGCAGGAGGCAAAGAAAGAGGCTTCTATACACAAGGCACTAGCTCACAAGCACATAGTAAAGATACAGAACTTCCATCAGTCTAAGACGCATGCGTATATAATAATGGATTATGCTGCAAAGAATGAATTATTTATGTATATAGACCCGGGGACAGGGTTATCTGAAGACATTTGTCATTTATATCTTAAACAGTTATTTTCTGTTATAAAGTACATACACAGCAGAGGAATTTGTCACAGAGATATAAAGCCAGAGAATATTCTACTGGACAGTAACTATAATTTATTGCTGACGGATTTTGGGTGTTCAACTATTTATAGGGATGCAAATGGGCGAAGGCCATTAACTAAGCACTGTGGCAGTTCAAATTACATGGCACCAGATATACATTATGGAGAGTATGATGGAGAGTTAGTTGATGTATGGTCATTCGGGATTGTTGCATTAGTCCTCCTTACTGGTGTAGTTCCATGGGAAAAGCCCGTGGTAGAAGATAAAAATTTTGAAAGGTTTAGAATTAGCACGTTCCGTGACTATTCACCATTTAATCTTCTTGGTAAGAACAAGCTTGAAATGATTGAAAAGTGTATTTCTGTCAGCCAAGACAAAAGGATTAGACTCAGTAGATTAGGAGAAAATCCATGGCTATCTGCACCAAATCTTTATATGGATCCAGATGGAATGATTAGATCCCCAGAAATTGTAGCTGCCAAATTAGTTCCTGCTGATATAGCTGCATTTACACAGCCAGATGTATGCATATCTCCTATGGGGAAAGAGTGCTCATCCCAGCCAGTTTTTTTAAGTTATGATACATTTCCTATCGCCACCAGAATTTATAGTTGTGCACTGGTCAGTGTGAGTCTGAGGATTCTCTGCAAGGCATTTGAAGATGTTCTTATCCCATACAAATCGATTGGAACCGTTATTTCATTTTCCACAGTCGACAGTTTTAAGAATCTCATTAGTGGAGAGGTTTTCTTGAAAAAGAATGGGGCAGAAACCCTGATCATATTCCAGAGAACACGAGGAGACTGCATTGAATACAAAAAAATGTTCAATGCCATAAAAGATAGATTTATGTGTAACTTTGATAAATACACAAATAAATAATGTAATTTGCCATAATACAAAGATCCCTTGTCTTTTTATACATTCTTACACCAGAAACACTTATAAACCACTTGTTTAATGAGTATCCTAATAATATGCTTTATATTTCGGGTTATATCGGGCTGTTCCATTAATATTCTCTTAAGACACCTTAAATACTTTCTGATATTTTCGGCTATACCCCAAGAATAATCAAAGAAGTATTTAAAGTGTAATTTTTATAAATAATTTATGTACGCATTTTAAATATTTAAATATTTTACAGAATTTTTATATTTCTATGCTTGTACACGCACTGACAGGTGAGAGTCAAAAAATAGTAAAGAAAGTACTATCAAATGGACTTACTGTTTTACTTAAGCCCATGCCAGTGAAAGAGTGTTTAATTGGTCTGGCAATAAAAGGTGGTGCAATTGAGAGTTCAAAGCAGGGATATCCGAATGGGACAGCACATCTTTTAGAGCATGTACTTATTAACAGGATCCCACGGGGTGTAAGAGACAAAATGAACATAAATGGGAAAACATCACAAACACACATTTCAGTGTATGGGCACACCAAAGAGAACAGTTCAAGAGTACTTACAAAGGAGTTATTAAGCAGTATATCACACCCAGTAAACCAGAAGAGTATTAATGAAGAGGTACCAAGAGTTCTTAAAGAAATAAGTATGGTAAGCGGAACACATTCAGACCAACAAGAGAAATTTATTACAGCTATAACAGAGGACTCACATTTACTCAACTCATCTATCCTGGGAACTGAAGAGACCATTAAAAATATCAGTAAAGACCATTTACAAAGATTCCTTAGGAGTACAGCAGTCCCTGGGAGTGTACTATTAGTTGGTATGGGCAACATACACGTGCCTGGTATATTGAATATCGCAAAAAGCATTAAGTTAAACAGACCAAGTACAGAATTACTGTCTAATAAAGAGAGTACATCACTCATTCCGAAATATGCACAAGCACAAACAAGCACAGATCCAGCAGCGAATAATAATTTATTTCTAATGGGATATAAATTTCCATGGAATAAAAACATTAAATCATATGCCACGTATTTAGTAATGGCCGATTCTATCCAGAGAGCACTCGACCCATCCTTAGGGATAACAGCTCATTTGAGTTATTCACAGCTAGGAGGAGTATTATACTTTACAATTCCCACTAAAGTGTATAGTAAGCAGGAATTTACTTCTATTATTCAGAAGGCCACCAGGAATATTCAGAAGGATTTATCAGAATTTAAATATGAAGAAGGTCTCATGGGACTGCCGCATTTAGACATTTCTACATACTTATTCTCAATAGGACTAGGCCCAACTTCCACTGATGATTTATTTGATGCGATTAAGTCTATAACTGATTCTGATATTTCTGAGGGGGTAAAGGCCCTTAATATTTCTAATTGTTATACTTCCACTGACAGTGCTTAACCCGAATAATCCAAACTTATTTAAATCATGCACCCATATTTTCAACAGTTTTATTTAAAGTGTGCTGTAACATTGTATGATTTATACAAAGATATTTAGTAATAGAACAGGAGAGTGTGTGTAGTGGGATGATTCTCAGTGTACAGAAGTATTTCCATATTTTGAGTTATTTATGATTATATCTGGGCATGTCAAATATAAGGAATTAGTCTAATTACTGTATAATATAAAGAAGAGAGTATGTTAAACATGTGTGTTTATTATTAATTATGGCAATCATGCCATTACATTATTATTAAATCAAAGTACTATGGAATTAGTGCTTAGACTTTTTTCCTCCTTTCTTCCCTGACTTTCTTGAGGTAGATGGGTTAGAAGATGATTCTGCTCCAGCTGCTCCAGCTGCACCTTCAGATGCGTTAATGGCTGCTGCACCAGATGCCGACTCTCCTGCTGCACCAGAGGCGGATGCTCCAGAAGCCGATGCTCCAGAAGCTGATGCTCCAGTGGCGGATGCGGTTTCTCCTGCAGCAGCTGATTGTTCAGATGCGGATGCTCCAGAGGCGGATGCTGACTCACTTGCTGCAGCTGCTGATTCCTCAGATGCAGATGATCCAGAGACAGATGCCGATTCCTCAGATGCAGATGCTGCTGAAGCTGAGTCCTCAGATACAGAGGATTCGCTAACTTCCTCACTACTCTCAGATACACTTTCAGAGCTGCCTGCTTCCATTGATTCTGATTCTTCCATTGATGCAGATACTGATAAAGTGAAGAATGTGAGTATAAGTAATCCAAATATTAATGCTAGTGTCTTGTTCATTATACTTCTTAGAATCATATCGGTATATATAGACACGTTATTTTAAAAATGATTTTGATTGATAAGAAACACGGCAGAGTCATTGAATACTTCAAAATGGATCAGTAATCTGTTTCCAAGAAAAACCTATCTTTTTTCTTATCTTCTATTTGTTCGTTTATAAAACAACTGACCAAGCACCTGAAAACCTAACTTATACACCAAAGAAATTCCTTACAGCTTCTTTTGCTTTATCTTCAGCCCATTTATCACCACACGGGAATTTATAAGTAACACTGCCACTCTTAGTCTTAGCAATAACTGCATTATAATGTGATCCAGAATATGAAAGGTATACAACAGACCTAAACTCATCCCCAAACCCATACGTCACTAAATCCCTTTGAATAACACACACTTTTGTCTTATATATCTTTGATATAATAGTTATTTCAGGCGCACCTCCCCATGTTGTAGGATCCTGTATCCAATTAGAGTACTCAAATGGTGCCTTCTCTATATACGGAGAGAACTCTTTCGGATTTTTCAGAATTTCATTCGCAACTATTTTCCGAAGCTCTCCACTACTCTTCGCATTCAAAAGATCACTCAGAGAATGAAAGAGACAAGAATTATCACCCGGAACTTCAAGAATAGAAAAATTCAAATCTTTATCGTATAAATCATTCGTGGCTGTTTCTACAGGACCCTTTAACACATTCGATTTTTCCGCGTATATACACTCAAGATTAGAGAATTCTTCTGAAATGAGTTTCTCTGACCGCTCAACAAAGCCTTTTGACATTCCTTTAAATAAAAACCGTTCATCCCCTAATACACCCTCTACTCCATCGTATAAATCTGACACTGTCTTATCACTTTCTATTTTAAACACAAATGTCTTACTGCCTCCTATTATCTTGAATTTCATATACAAATTAGTAATATTCAAATTTGAAGGATTTATTTATTTATTAAATTCTAGAAATTATTAAAAATATTCCGTATAGGAATGACAGAAATCCATAAATAACCCGATTTCAAGTGTATTCATACGTAATCTAACGTATTACAGTGTTTTAAATCTGTTGTAAATATTCAAGTATAACTGAATTTATATTCAGTGGAAGTACTGGAGTATCATGAATAACCCGAATATTTATGAATAGGATCTATCACTTTATTTATTCTTAGCTAAAGTATAGACAAGTAGAATTCAGTTGGTATTTCTGGTAGTAAGTTATCTTAAAAATGAGCTTTTCATTTTTTGAGAGTTTTTTTACTGGAGCCATTTCTTCTAGCTGAGTCTGTTTAATTGAAGATGCTCTGATTAGGACACTCTCCTCTAGGCCGTATAATCTTTTTAGTTCCATGGCCGTCTTTTTTGTCTCCAAATCAATCATAAAAGGGTATCCAACAGTTTCGCTGCTGTACCTCATGGCAGCTTCTATTTTTATTTTCTTATCTATCTCCTGAACAGTTAAGAATGCCAAGTTATTTAAGCTGATTCTTGTACTTGTTGGTTTATACGTGGTGATTTGTTCTACTTTTGGGTATGCTTTAAGAATGCGTGTATCTGGGGTTATACTTTCGTTTTTCACACCGAGCGTAGAGAGGACTTCTTCTGCTGTGACCATATCTGAGAGGATGTATGCATTTTTTTCGATGAGGTTGATATTTTCAGTTTTATCACCAAGTGCTAAAAGGTACACTAGAACCTTGTTTTTCTCTAGTTCTAAATATATCACATTCTCAGTGATTTCTGTTATTTTAAACTTGTCCGATTTCATGGTTTTTTGAAGAATTTCTTGCATTTCACTCTTGGTTGTTTTAGAAGGTACCCAATAATTACTTACGGGCGTGTTATTGTGCACGACTGTATAAATCTTATGGGATGAAAGTTGTGTGAAATACTCTGTCAGCACCTTTACACCCGCATCAAGTACAATCACACCAGAATCACCATTAAACAATTTCTTGAATGTGATATTATCCTCTATTTCTTTAGGTCTTCCATTTATCTCAGCGAATGGTGGTACACTTAAGTTATATCCTGCTTTAATCCATTCTTTAACACATGCATTCTTATTTACCACATGGACAGATTTTATACCTATAAGCACCTTAAGGGAGTACTTCTGTCCCATTGCTGTTGTTTGTTTGATAAAAAGGACGAAAGAGTCTTCTTTCTTTATGTTTTTATCCGACTCTATCGCAAAAATAGAGGAGCTTTTAAGATCCGCAACTATTTCAGTGGGGTTTATCGGCTGTAACTGTGATTCACTGCCGCTTTCATCCAGTGTGTACAGGAGAACAGAATCAATTGCTGTATTTGGCTTTGAAAGAAGTTTTTTAGCCTGTGCAGCCACTTGATTATACGACTGGGAATTTTCAAGTTCTATCACACCCGGGGATGATTTCAAGTACATCCGGCCTGGTGTAAAACATCCCACTCCCCAGTATCCATTCATTGCACTGGGTACGTATATTTCTAGCTTAGATTTGATTGAAAGAAACCTTTCCTTCTCCACACTCTGTTTTATTTCTTCAGGCACAGTTTCTACTATACTATTAAGAAGAGTTTCCATCTGAGAAGTTCTTATGTATACCAAGTAATAAGCATTCGCTGCCTTTATCTTATTCTTATACCTATGCCTCCCACCAAATGTTTCTTGAATGGCTTCTTCCTCCATGCACTTAGTCACATACGTATCGTTAAATTTATACCACTCATCACCCTTTCTTATATACGCATAATAATGTCCTTCAGACATTCCACATCCCATGTGAACATTCACAGAGTACAGAGTATACTTATTATCAACACTTTTATCAGGTGTATACGGAGACAAGTCTAAGTCTTTAGGAAATGAATAATAATTATTCAATTTGTACACTTCCCCAGTCTCATAGTCCATGTTAAACCTCTTCACCTGCAAAAATAGCACAGGCGGGAATGTCTTACAATAATCTGATTTAGTAGCCTCAACGTACCCGTGCTTCTCACAGTGGTATAAATTAGGTGCTTTCAAATGCATTGTACTTATATAATTATGAAGAGAATCTTCTAAAGAGGTCCTTGAATTCTCCATGTACGGTAAGTCCATGACCAACTGCAAATCATTATATTTCTCAGTTATTTCTCGTACACACCCTTTCTCACACCTAATGGTTGTCCCTAACTCCCCATAAAAAGTATCTTCAATATACTTGAAAAATGGAGTGTTTTTTGCTTCCTTCTCTAAATCATCCAATAGTGCTTTAAAGAACTCTTGTATATCCTGTTGTTCATCAATATCTTCATTCTTTAATTTGAACGCATTTGTGAATTCTTTCGTATCAACGTACATCGTGTCCTTTGCTAGCTGATAAAACAATTTCTGCATTTGCACTGTCTTGTCGCCTGGTGGCTGCTTAAATAACTCCTTAACAAACCCTTTCAAATGAAAGAGTGTCTGTATTATTGAGTTTAAGTAGCACGTAGCCCCTAAATTGATCAGTCCTGTATACGGCGTCTCTTTCTTGGCTTCATAACACCGAACAGCAGAGAGTATTTTTACCATTATTTTTTTCTTTTCTTTAGGTTGCACTTCCACTCCAAATTCCAACTGTGACCCAAACCCAAATGTCACTTTCTTTTCTTCAACCTCCCCATCTGCGTATTCAATAGTTAGAACATAATCGGTGAACACTTCAAATGTTAAATATCCAAAATATTCCAAATACAGATAAGGCCTGTCCACTGAAATAAGGCACAATCTCCACGTATAATTATATGATGTAAAATACTCACTGAATATATTCTTATCTCCCCACTGATGCTTTACCTTCCACTCGTAACAATAGTCATTCATTTTATAAAAATAAGAAAATTAATTTGTTTTACTTATAATAAGAAAACTGTTTCAGATTAGAAAATGCCAAGAATACATTAAATTAAAGAATAATTAGATATACAGATATATACAGGAGTAGACAGGGTCAGATAGGCATAGTAGTTATATACAGGAGTAGACAGGGCTAGGCAGGGTTAGTAGTCATATACTGGTAGTAATAGGTAGTCACAGAGTGTATCATACTGCAATGGTAAGTATAGGCAGTCATAGAGTGCACTGGTAAACATAGAGTGTACTGGTAGTAATAGGCTGTATTATACGGTATTTTATTGTATTAGTATTATCATACTGTACTGGTAGTAATAGGTAGTCATAGAGTCTATCATACTATATTGTACTGGCAGTAATAGACTGTGACAGGCTGTACTTATACTAATAGACTGTATTATACTGGTAGTCATAGAGTGTAATAATTAGTCATATACCGCACTTATACTAATTAGACTGTGCACTGGTATACTTCACTGGTATTCATAGACTGTGTTATACTGTTTTATTGTGTTTGTTGTTATTTATATAATGTCAATGTGTAATAACCCGATATAACCCTAATTATAATTATTCATTACTGTACATTTATTATTCTGATAGTTCGGGTATTAAATATGCATAAGAATAAATAAGTACCAGTATTAATAATCCCAATGGGAGTATAAACAGTACTATAATATTCTTTAGAATGTACATTATAGAAATACCCAGTAATAGCACATTACCATTGAATATTTCATGTGGTAACTTACATGAACTGACTATATCCCTTATATGGGATAAGAATGAGTTTGTGATTTCTGTCTCTCTCTCCTGGGTGCACTGTGATTTAATTAATTTATGTAGGATATCCTGTAATTTACTTGAATTGTCCTTATACTTACTCATATGAGTATCTGTTATTATAATACTCTCATTATATACGCATACTATCTGTAACAAATGAATAAAACAATTATGTGGAGATACCTTATAAAGAACCCGCGCACACCAGAATAATCCATAAGTGCACCTTAATAATAAAGAAGTTTCTTGATTTAACCCAAACATATCCCGCATACCATCCATGAATAATGAATTTTCCATACGGAATATCCCAATATCATTTATAAACGTATGTTTATACCGTACTGGTTTTATATAATTATATACACTCTCTGGTATAAGTATACATAAGAATAAGATAATCCTGTGTATGTTATATGTATACGGTATAAGGTGTACTATTAATAAGTATATACCCAGTAGTACAGATGATATACTCAGTAAAGTAATTGATAATGTATGGCTAATTCTTATATACTTCTTTATATTACTATCTAAATATGCGTATATAAATATATATAAGGATACTTTACATATAAATATAAGCAAAGTCTTCCTTATAAGTATATCAAGTACTTGTGATATTATGACATCTCCCGCTGTAAATTCATTCCTTTTTATGCTTAGCTTGCAGTTCCTGTAAAATTCAGATTTATTCATACACCCAGGGAGTATCACACTGAGTGTATAAATAACCATAATTATTGGTGTGAATATATGCTGGAGTATATGTACCCAGCAATTATTACTTATTACTCTTAAGATATTATCACAGTAAATTATACACGGACTCTTCTCCGTATACTTTGCATGATTAATAAGGTACTCCCTTATCATATGCAGCTTATAGACTAAATCCATTGATGAAATATTTTCATATTTGAATACTCCATTTTTTATAAGAATATTTGAGAATAATAAACACGTAATAACCACTCCAATGAATAAACACAGTAGAAGTACACAAATATCCAGTGTTAAAGAACTTCCTTTAAATTGTTTATCAAAGTACGGCAATCTTCTTAATATTTGAAATATCTTAGTGTGTGATATGCGTACTTGTGATTTAATCCACCAAATACGTCTCTTACACTGTTTATTATGGAGTGTACTTGAAGTAATAATCCTTTCAGATATTTCATTAAAGATTCTTATATTCACTGTGTCCTGTTCATTATTACTTGTATTACTGCATAGTTTCATTATGTAATTTATGTGGGGTATATCTGATGGGAAGCATATCCCTTTATCAATGAAATAATCCTTTATGTTCTGTACACTACCAGAATAAATTACAGTTGATTTATGGATTATAATGGCATAGTCCATTTGGTTAAGTAAATCCACAGATGGCTCATGGATGGATATTAAATTTGTACTTTTAAATTTCTTCATTAAGAAAATAACTGTATTTATAATTTCTGGGCCAAGGTTTGAAAAGGGTTCATCCCATATGTTAAACTTATTATTCCCCATAATCCCACATATTATAATTACTTTTCTTTTTTCATTTTCTGTGAGGTTTTTAAATAAAATATTCTTGGCCTTTTCCATACGAAATGCTTTTATGAGTGCATTTACGTTCGGTGTACTTATATTCCTGCACTGTGCGACTGAGTGTACTACGCTGTACATCGGGGTATTTTTATAATTTATTACTGTATGTTCAATATAATTCACATTTAAGAACCATTCACTCGTATTCCTTATGGATAGTTCATTAATTTCATTCTTTACAAATACATCTCCGCATACAGTATGGCCAGAATGAGTCAGTCCAGCTAAGCTCTCCATTAAACTTACTTTCTCAATCTGACTTATCCCCACGAGGCATACGAGTTTTCCTTCTGGGATGGATAATGAAACCCTTTTAAGTAAGCATACTCCATCTTCATTGACTATTTCATAATTATTCATTTTTATTAATGGGGTTATTTCATTATTCATTAACTGATGCGTACTCTTGAAATAATTTGGCAAGTACTTCATGGGTTTACACACTGTATCCTTTATGCGCACGGCATTACCAGATGGCTTACTTGGGCGGTCAAATATTCTGTTTAATTGGGGATCTCCTTGTATACTTGATAAAATATCAGAGTTGTTTAAACTTCCAGTATTCTTGGTTGTTTCCTGGATATTCTCTATTTCTTCATTGTTTATTATTATCTCTTCCTTATCCTTCCTCATATTTAAGCATAAAAATATTTTACTTTATCATCGATTTTTGGCGGGAATATTATATCTACTAAAATCTCTGATATAATTATTTTTATTACTTTCATTAAAATTTCGTTATATTAATTAAATTTTTATTCATTTTTATTCATTTTTATTCTAGATAATTTATGGAGTAAGGGCACTTTCTGTTGTATTCAGTATACCACTCACAGATACTTCTTTAGTATTTACTTCTATGGAATAATATGCTTTAATAATTCCTATACTAATTAGGACAATAAACCCAACCATCATAAATGACACTGTAAGATAATCAAACCACCTCTTATTATATCTATGCCTATTAGTGATTATAAGTATAGAGGGCACTAAAATAGAAGTAAATGATGATACAACGGCACCTGTCACTTGAATAATTATATTTAGATCTATTTGTAGCATAACAATTAATGTAGTAATACTGAACAGGACAGTTCCAATGACGTACCTTAGAAGTACTTTAGAATTTCCTGGGGATTCATCAGTTTTATCACCTGTGCGGGTGAAAGTCCTTTCAAAATATTTTGGAATACTTTCAGGTAAGTAAGAAATAATCTTCATAAACAGATTTGGAATACTTTCTGTAAATATTTTCTTAATGAAATTCGTTATGTTTAAAATAACTGAATTTTTAATAGAGAATATTCTTATAACCGTTGGATTATTAATAACTCTCTGTATGAATTGCATAATTAATGTTCTATATGAGAACATATGCCACATAAATGAGTTCAGAAGGATAACACTCATTGCTAATTTAAACACAGAAATAAGACTCTGGGCCGCAGCATAAACAGTATTATGATCATTATCGTGCTTGTTAGAATCCAGTACTAATGAAATACTCGTGAGTATATTGCTATTTGTACCACTAAATTCATTTGCTCTGACTAAAAAGTATCCCTCAATCCCTATTATAAAGAACAAGATGTACACCAATGTATTACTTATAAGCACGGGGTATAAAGCACTCCTCTTTGTACTTATTTTTACTTTACTCATATACACAGGAATATTATAATGTGAATTTATGGCAAAGAATATAGTAGCAACAGACCCAAAGAAGTTCACCACAGAAGGGTCCTTCCCTATGACTAAATACTTTAATGTATCTGTACTTGGAACACTTGGTTCAAACACTGTATATATAATTACCAGAAATACTGCCAATACCACAGACAGGAGTACAATTGAAATATTCGTGATTATTTGAATATTCTTGGTATCCCCGGGTGATTCTATCACAGAGTACCACCAAAGAACAATAATCATTAAGAATGAGGCTATTCCTTTGATTATATTTATATTCTGGTTACTTATGCTTAACATATCTCCAAATAAGAATTCTATATTATCATACGTCCATTTCCATATGAGTGTCTGGTATATTATTGTTGTTATTAGCATTAGTGTCACTAATAGTACTGTAAATAGCACATGAAGGAATCTCGGTCGTAACTTTGCAAAGCTAACGTACGTCACTTCATCTTGATCATGCACTGCCTGGTCAGTCAACATTTCATTTTTTCTGCCTCTAAACACTGACTCAGTTATTGAAATAATCCCAATATAAGAGAGCATACTTGCTATAATAAATGAAAGGATTCCTCCATTTGTTATTGCACTGTGTATAAACAGTACGCCTGATCCAATTATTGAACTAATTATAGTAAAGTATAACTCTTTCCCTTTTAAATAATTATGTACTGAGTGTGTTATACGCTCTCCATCTATAGATATTACGTTATTCTCTTTATTGCTGGTTGTATCATCTACTACAGAATCATTTAATGGTATACTTTCTAGTGGATTGTTGTCCATATCTGTATTATTTATAGATAATCTATTGTCCGAATCTTCTGAAATTCTATTTATATCTTCCATATTTCAAAATAAACATTTTACTTTACAACTATTTATATGGAAATAATTAATAAAAATAATATTTTAGTAAAAAAACAACGAATAGATCCGAAACGGGAAGTATTTCAGTTATGTTTTTACTAAAATATTATTTTTAATTAATTATTTCCATTATTAGAAGTATTTTTATGTTTTTATTGACATTCCCGCAAATTATTTAATCATCCACAATTATTATTCACATGACAAGTGACAGCACGCAATAATGTAAACATTCCCAGAGTATTTCACACCCCGACATAACCCGAAATAAAAATACACCGGAAAGACTCTTTGCATTATTATACGAGCATGAACTATATAAGCATATTCTGTCGGTGTAAAAGAAAATGCTTTCGTCCGGGATCGAACCGGAGGCCTCATCCGTGTGAAGGATGCGTGATACCACTACACCACGAAAGCACACATATATACGCCGCATATATACGTCACATATATTTTTTTATTTATGCATTTCTGTATAACTGGTGGTTCACACGGTCTTGGTGAATCCCTGTCCATCCACCTCCTACTGAATAATCATAGAGTAACAATAATTGATAAAGATACTCCATCAGTAAAGTGCACTTATATACAGCATGATTTCACTGAGTACTTAACCGTCCCTGTATATTGTGATGTATTAGTAATAAACCATGCCACGTTTAATGGATTTATTCCATTCTCTAATAATACGCAGGAGTATGTGGATGATTACTTAATGATCAACTTATTATCACATATTCACTTAATTAAACACTGTAAATATTCTAAACTTGTCCATATTAACAGTGTTTTAAGTATAGTTTCATTTCCAAATGTATCCTTATACAGTGCATCCAAAGGGTTCATGCATTCTTTTATAGAATCCATAAGAAGAGAAGGTGTCCCTGTCCTGAGTGTATACCCGTATAAGATAAATACTTCACTGTTTAAGGATGTACACTCTCCTTACGTCCTGGATAAAGACAAGATATCCAAAAGTATTTATACTTCTATTATACATAATCATACGCACTTATATTTACCACGTATTTTCAAGTATTCTTATATTTATACGGTCCTTCCATTTTTTATTCAGAATTGGGTTATTTCTTTATTATACTATGCAATGTGTAATGATACCACCATACAGACATAACCCGAAACCAGCACTATGACTCTGTCAAATAATAGGCTGGGATTATAACTCAGTAAATTTTGGGTTATGATTACTAGTTGTTTTCTTAGGAAAGGCATTCTTAAATTTGACCTTTATTTAATTCGTATACGTATTTATAGACCGTATAATCAATTTAATTTATGTTGGCGTATTCGGGTTAACAACAATTTCTTATTTAATTTGTGCTACACAATGCTGGTCTTAGCATACAACAATATTTATTCCCTATAATTACTTACAAAAACAAACGAGTAGACCAATAGTGATTTTATTGAGTTTTTAATAATTCCAATATATGCTTCAATACATACCATAGGAAATGAATAAAATTCAGTACTTTATTTTTCTATATATAATTTATATACTACAGTATATGTCTATATATGAAAATAAAATAGACATAGAAGAATATGAAAAAGAAAGCATAGATAAGATTAAGAATACTTGAATGAACTGAAGAGAGCAAAAAATAATTTAGTTTTATTTATAGTCAAGGGAGCTAAAATATATAATGATGTAAAGAATTATAAGAACTGAATGCTATCAAATTTAAAACTAACGTAATTGAGAATTACATGTCCCCCATAAAGTCACTTATTTCAATTATTAGAGGAAAATCTAGTCGTACAACTAATGAGGAAGTAATTGCAGATTTCTGGAGTACTAACAATTTATCTATTATACTAATAACTATAGCTATTTCTATAATTATTCTTAGTATATTCGGGTTATACCAAAATGAGATAAAACCACTAATGAACAATTAAACATTCATTATTTTAACAATACCACTGCATTAAACTATAATGCTTATATAAGCATAGTCTGAGAAGAGTAGTCCAGTAATTAAAGTAACAATTCAATATTCTTCTTTATTTTATTTTAGAATTTCTATATTTAAATTTGTTTGTTCTTATACAAAGGATAGACTTATTTTAATTTTTTATTATTCTTGCCATATAAAACTTTAAACATTTACATATTATAGCACTAGATGACTTCGCATAGATATGTGTCTGGTACCTACACTAGATATAGTTCATCATATGATAGAAACCATTAGTTAATTCTTTAAAAGGCACATTAAGACACTTTAATGAGATTTGAATACGCCTTTATATACACCGCATGTTTAATTTAATTCATATTAACTTGTTTATGTAATCATTCAGATAACTCATGTATTACTATATTTGTACTAGTCTTGCCATACAGCATAAACTAGTATTGTTTTGTCTCTATTTGCCTCTTAGAATCTTGGGCTGCTCCTTTGCTCCTTTTGCTCCTTTTACTCCTTTATTTTTATTATTATACAATTGTGTATATCTTTTTCACCCTATTTTGTCATCTATTAGCCACTTATATTCAATATCTCAGAGATAACCCCTATAATATAAATATAAGCTTATTAAAATTTGATTTATTTATTCTTGATAAAAATAAAAATTTAATATTTTTAAATATGATATATGATTATATGTAATCGTATAGCTTTTTAATTAAATCAAAAATTAAAAGTATAAATATAACTCAAAACAAAAATTATATGTACTTTAGATACTGTATAGTGTTATTATACATAACAAATATAAAAGCAAGAATGGTATGGAAAGATGTAAAAGAATTTAAAAAAATTGTTGTTGGTTCATATAAAGGTGTGGATAGAATGGTATATCCACAGAGCTCTTTGCATCCTACAAACTTATATATCAATAGTAAACGTGGTGAAATATATAATCTAAGCGAGTTTGGTTGTCAAGTAGAGATGAAATATAAAATGGAAGTTACAGCTAGTGAATCTGGCAATAATGTCTATAAATGCAGTAAAACAACTGATAAGAATGGCATTCGTGGTTTAGAAAATAACCAACCTTGCTCTTCAGATATATATTTGAAATTTTATAGGTGTTTAATTGAGATGTTTCCTACAGTGGATGGAAGAGCAACAATTTATTCAGAAGAAAAATATTCATTTTTAGCTTTTCTTAATAATATTCCAGAGAAAAAAGACAGGCTGAGACTGCTTGCTTCTTTGTTTTTACTTTCTATGGGGGTAGATATTTCTTTAGAAATAAAAACAAATGAAGCTAAACATGACGTGCTTGTTCTTAAAACATCTAAATATAGCACTGAGAATTACTTTAGTACTGAATTGAAGCTAGGAAATAGAATTTACAAAAATAAAATGGATAAAAATAAATCATGTTTGCTAGATGATAAATATTATTACACGCAAACTGAAAATATAGTTGATTTATATAAAGAAGCCAAAGATAAAGAATCAGAAAATATATACAATCCTATTGCTGATTTCAATACTGCACGTGCTGTATGTATGACTAAATTACTTATACAAACATATATAGTTGAGTATCTATCTACTAAAGAAGATATGAAAGCATATCTTATAGAAACATTTAATATACTAAAAGAAAATGTTGAAGCATTAAGAAAAAAAAAATATTTAAAGTTAAAGCCTGCAGAAACAATCGCTATAACTGTTTTAAATAATATATTCTGCCCTATAAATGAAGAATTGTTAAATATAGAAACAGAAATCATTGAAAATATAGAAATTATTAATAACCATGTGAATGAAAATATGTTTATTCCCTTTAATCGAGAACTATCCATGCCAGATGTTTTACGTACTTACTACAAAAACAATGAATTATCCCCAACTGACATGGCTTCTAGTTCTATGAATACATCCAACCCATCCATGCATTTCTCTTCTACTAACCTAGAATATCTTTCTGGTTTAGAAAAGTTTACTATTGGAACAGAAACTAGCATACTTACTCTACTTTGCTGTTGCTTCTATGACAGTCCTGAGATGGAGTACACTCTTAAAACAATTGAAAATTCTCCCGTAGAATTAAAGCAGTTCTTTACTAAGTACAGAGACCTATTTGACACAGAAGATTTAAGTGTTCACTATGACTGGTATAAATTGTTTAATACTTTGACACATAAGAATTCATCAAATTCTAGCCATAAGCCCCAGTATTGTAATGGAGGATTGCTAAGCATGCTTTCTATTATTTTAGACATAACTAATATGTCTGAAGATATAAAGAAAGAATTAAATGAGCATATTAAAAAAGTAAGAGAAGAAAAAAACTTAAGCTCAAAACTGACGGCGGATACTAATAATTTAGTTAATAAAATATTGGCCTTGCTTTCATTCAATAAAAAAATGGAAGTATCGGCAGACACAGATCTTAGAATAGGCACACTTAAAAACCATGAATCTGATATATTTGGGAAATTGCATATAAGCATCTCCACTACTTCTTCAATTGTGAGAGAATTAACTATCAATTTTAATTTTGATAAAACAACTGCTGAATATGTGGGTATGTCATCAAACCATGATTCTTTGGTAAACAAGTGTATTTCTTCTATGTGTGATACAGCAATGAAATTCAAATTTCATCCTACTGGCACCAATTTAAATGAAATTTTTAGTTTCATTATATACAAAGCGGATAAATTAAAGAGTACGCTATATGAAGAGGAACCGCTATCCCCTATTATATGTTTTAATTATACTCTACTTAAGTTTAAAAAATTCGATCTATATCATCTATTTACATTTGGAAGAATTATATATACATCCGATAAAAAGCAGATAGTAAATTGTATCTCATCAGTTGATTATAATATTGGTGATAAAAATAACTATCTTATTGGTAGAAATGTTATTATTAATATTGTAGGAAGTATGATAAATTTCAAAACAAGCGCAATAGATAAAGTATTTTATGCTATTACTTCTGATTGGGAGATTGACTGCTTTAATGATAATATAATAATGGATGAAAAAGTTTATTCGAAATTAAAGCCAGGTATTAGATTTGGGGTGGCAGATTTAAATTTTAATGATGATTTAATTGATGATTTTAATGAT